AGGGGATTTAAAGTTTGTACAAACAAAGGTTGCAGCCTCTTTCAAGGGTAGATAATTAAGAATTAAAATTTGGGCTGTATCTTTTTAAAAATCTTAATCTCAAGAATCAATGGGCAAAAAAAAATGAAACTCATAGGAAACCTTTGGAATATTATTGTACATGTAGATTCAATTAAAAATTACTTAGATTTCATTTATAACTTTATTGGTTTTCATTTCAAGATTTTATAGCATGAAACATGTTAAACTTTGAACAGAAAATCAAAGCCTAAAGGTTTTTTAAAAAATAAAGAATTAAGGGGGTTCTACAAAATGAATTTTTAAAAATATTTCCAAATAAAGTTAAATAAACCGTATTTTAGAGCTTAATGATATTGGATTCTGGGTCTATTATTAGAAACAAATACCAGGGTACATGAAACAAAAACATACTTCATATGTGTAGAGATCCTCCTTAACTCCTTGCCCCCTAACTCCCATAATATGTAACAGAGAAACATAAGAATTTCATTTTTGACATTAAGGTGTCTTATATTTTTGAGTCTGTGTCTTGGTCTTCATCCAAGACAATTTTTACAAGTTCAAGGTCACAATCAGAATAATAGATGCCATACAAAATGCTAGCAATTTAACATTTCATTTCTGAAAAAAGAGAGAGCTAAATAATTGGTTTTGTTTATATTAGTCCATAATATACAGATGTGCTATAAGAGAGGGATATTGTTTCAAGGCCAAGGGGGTTCACATTCACAGTGGCCTAAGAATTGTGAATTACTGATACCTTAACTTTTATTTTCTGGATGATTCGTTGGATGCAAAAGTTTGGGGATCTGGTTCATTCTAATGTAACTGTAAATCCTACCTAATGTTCAGACTAAATAGGTTAATCCGTGTTTGCTTTTTGTATTGCCAATAGGATGAGACAGGAATGAAAAAGAAAAAGTCTTCCCAAGAGAAGGAGAGTGGTAAAAAAGATAAAACTTCAGAGAAAGGAGCGGGGGATTCAAAAAAGGACAAGAAGAAGAAAAAAAAGAAAGCAGTGACAGAGGAAGAGGAAAGTCGAGATGCGCTGGAGGCATTCCTTAATGATGCCGGGGGCTACGAGTCTTTATAGGCATTGCTGTTGGTTTAATTACATGTATACATGCCTATAGACACTGAGCAAGACTCTGATAGAAAACCTGACCTGGCTTACGTCTCACTTTTAGTTCCTGTTATTTGTATGTGATCTGACACATATCAGAATACTGTATACAGGGTTATTTTCGCTCTTTTGCACTTGCAAACAATTTTGCCCCGTTTTAAATTCGCCCAGTCATAATTCTGTTGAAGAAAGTATGCTATGTAATTTAAATTCACACCGATTTAAAGACGCCAAATCAGGAAGAGGGTGTAAGAGGCGAAAATAAAATGGGGGCGAAAATTTCCCTGTTTACAGTTCCCTATTTAGCCTAACAGTATTGAATTATATTGTTTAAAACACAGTCTAAAAAGGCATTTAATTTAAAAGTCTGCTTTAGCCATGATTTTGTGTTCCACTTTTTAATTAGTGTTGTGAGCATGAGAGAGGTTTAAATTCATTACTTGGCTGAAACTGCTCACTGTAAAAAAAAATATAGAATATTTCATAGATAATTTGTACCAAGCCGCCTGCAGTTTACTTTGAGATTACATGATTGTTTGGAGAAATCAGAAAAAAGGAATGACTGATCATTGATTTATTATAAAAGTTTTGTTTCATTTTTTGTCTCTCCACAGCTTTAGCATCTTGAAGAAATTTCCTTATATCAGCCTGTACATGATTGTATATTAAGCCCATTTTTCATTCACTTTAATTGGTAAACATTGACATTGACATAAGAAAATAGTATTCAACTTTTTATGCAATGAATCTGATGCTGTGAAATTAAACAAAATCCTGTCTTTTTCGTTCTACAATAACATTACAGAATTAATATTATAATACATTGTATATCATTGTATGAGATAGCTATGTAGACAGATGATTTTTTACCATGAATATCTCAGTGGTTAGAGCACCTGAGTGCTGTTCTTGTACAGCTTTAATTTATTTTGTGTACATGTATTTGTTCATTCTTCTTTCCTTGTTGATGAAGTACACGTATCAACTGCTACGCGAGTATGTTAAGGCAGCACATGGATCAGAATTCGGTGAATTCACACTTTTTTATAATTATGTAACACTAATAAATCAGAAAAGTCAAGGATAAAACTTTTGCTATAATTATGCATTCTATAGACTTCAATGGCACTTATACTACAGGAGGCACTTCACCACGACGTCACCACGTGACGTCAATAATTAGAAAATATGCCTTAATGAAAAAGTGAAAAGTTTAACACTACCCCGGGGATAATTAGTTTCAATTTGTAATAATAGTTATGTAAAAACATCTCTGTACCATGAAAAGTGCTGCTAGAATCGTACTGTCCTATTATAGAAATAATTATTCAACAATTTCGGACGAAACCTTCCCAAAATTTTTTACATTTTGTTCATAACATTGAAAAAAAAGCATCAATTCCCGTAAACCATACGATTCTAGCAGCACTTTCCAAAAACAAAAGAATAAGAACTTTAGATAGAAACAAAAATTAAGTTTCAAGGTATGCGGCATAGTGTTGAACTTTTGCATCTTTTTTGTTACGAACGACAGAGGAAAGGCTGATCGGCAAGTAAACACCCTCCCTGCTATAATTCTACGAGGAAATTGCAAAATTATATTACTATACCTTATTCATACGCTTTATTCCCACATGAATCACACATGATATTCATTCTAAATGCTTTTAAACTCCAATTTCTTGTGTTTGTTTACATCAATTCTCTTTACGATTCAGTTTCACTCTGCTACTGCATGATCAACAGTTATGACGTCACGGGTTTGGTATGTAACCCCTGTGATAACTACAGAGGCCCAGGAATGACAAAACTCCGTTTATAATATGCCTCTGCATATTTTGATTCATTTTTACGACTTCAAATCAATCTTAGATATCAATTTTAAGAAATTATTATCTCTAAACCTCACGTCATATAGCTTACTATGACGTCATAGCATATAGGCAAGTAGAATATTTGATTGTAACCTTAACCTACCTGCGTATGACAAATAAGCATTTCATTTTAAAAAACATTTTAATTTCTGTTATGACTTTGTTTATTTATTTTTAGGGTCAAGGATCGATACTCACGCTGTCTTTTTTTTGTGTTCTCATTGACATTTTTTTATGTTTCAAGGTGGCTTGTATGTTAATTGTTAATGATTATATAGACTAAGGGGATTCCAATAGGAATATAATATATTCAGTTTAAGTTTTTATATTTAAAACTTTGATGTGGTGTGATAAAGCATTTGTTCTTTGAGTCCATTTTATCATCGCTTGCCATCAAATTGTAATAATAACACATTCATATAGCCAAGTCTGTGATTATAAGAAAGTTTTATCTCTTGAAGATATGTTTGCCACAATATTTTAAAAACAAATATTTTAAGTAACAAGAAAAGATTTGGAAAAAAACATGGTTTGGAGGGTATTTGTAAACAAGAGAAAATTTCCGCATGATGGATTTGTTTTGCTTAGTATTAAATAGAAATGATATATGATATGCTTCCCCACATGAAACACTTCCTTGAATCAAAGGCAGCAATAGATGAAGGTCCTGGGTATAATTATGTTAGATAATTTTCATTTTAAAAATGGGAACTTTTCTGAATGTGAATTAAATAGTAAGCCACCAGTTCAATGAAAGAATCTTCAAAAAACGTCCATCTTTCATGTCAGGAGTTGATGAAGTTTCTTTTGAAATTCACTGTATCTACAGCTACTGAGGGATCTGGCAAAATGCTTGTGCAAACACCTGTATACCTGCTTAGTAAACTGCTCAGTGTGGATGTTTATGAAAATCAATTTTTCTATAAAGTAAGACAAGTGTTTGATAGAGTTTTCAGTTTTTGTTTTATAGTGTTAGTGACATGAAGTAGAAAAGGATCATGAATTATACATGTAAGATGAACAGTGTTGGCTTGTTATCAAGTTATTTATGCTTTATTTATTTACATACATGTATGTATTATAAGGATTAATATGTGATATTTTCCTATGATACCTAATCAATAAAATGATGAACTTTAAGACATTTTATTTTCTGCTACAGTGTAAAGGTAAATGCTAGATCTACTATATGCACATGATCAAAGATCTGATACTTGTGTCTAAATCCTCAACTCAGAAACATACTGTTGTACACACGGGCATAGCAGTGATTCAAGGTCATTTTGACAAGCACATGCAAGGTCACTAAATGGAAAATTGCTGAACTTAATAATTAGAAATTAATGAGGAACTGTGTAATTAATGAGAAACTGTGTAGAGGCAATTTGATAGGTGGTCAATGTAACAAGCTTTTTTGTCTGATGTTTAAAGGTATTTATTGGATGATACTGTAAGCATTGTATATTTGGCTGTGTATTCTATTTAGCGCTTTTCGCAGAAAGCATCTTCAGCTAAATCAAGTACATCGCTAAATGTCTTGTTTACAAAAATTCATATGATGCACATTCAAAAAGTGTGAATTCAAATCTAAGCTAACTTGTTAAAAATCAATTTCGGCCAAATATTGTACACGCCAAATAAAATTGACTTAGTTATTAATCAGAATTTACCGCAATTTAACGATTAAAATGGTGAGAAGGCATTAAATAATAAATATGGAGGCTGGGTAAGGATATGCAAGGAATACCATCGATAATGGCGTCTCATAGATGCCTGCTGAAATATTGCGAATCTGTCATTAAACGATATACAGTCAATTAAAGACGCTCTGTGCTTGGTTACAAAATATTTGCAGTTACAAAAGGAAAACATTCAAAAGATCAATGGACAATGAATGCATCAAAGACAAAAACACAGATATTTAATTTAGAGTTTCCATTTTATTTTTGTTTTAATAAATACCAAAATATTAAAAACAGAACAAGGAAATAAAATACAATAGATTCAGGCATTAACGTATAATTTAAATTACAACATGATCACATGCAAAACCTTTTACAACTTTTTAAAATAATTTCTTTCTCATATTTCAAGTGATATAACGATTTAAATACTAGAATTTAGTTAACGGAATAAATATATCACCTTACAATAATTACTGGTGAGAAAGTAACGGTTCATGAGTCAATATGCTCGGTTTGTCAGGTCACATTAGGTCTGTATCATTACTTGGTCTTTTTCTTTTTCTTGGTGGTGCGCCGTTTAGTTTTAGAGTCCACAATAAACTGAGATTGTTTCTTAATTGCATTACGATTTGGAACATCTGTATCATCATCCCCGCTGTCTTCATCATCTGAAAAATCATCAGTAACATATTAAATAATGATCAATTCTACATCAGCTTCAGCAAAATTCTCAAAACATCCAAATTATTATAACATCAAATAATGTGCAGCATCTGAAAAAAACCTCAATGATTGTCAACGGTATATACCAAATGTGACATTTCAAAAAAATAACTGCTTGTGTGGTTGGCATACATATACTAGTAACTTAATAGTTATACCAATTCATGTAAAATATTAATTCATGGAGTCATTTGTAAACAGTGATTGATTCTGACATGATGTGAACATGATGCGTGTGATAGTACATGTGCACTCAGTGGAGAACAATTACATTCACTAGTAATCTCCCTTTAATTCTGATCATGCAGTGATGTGATTGTTCAACTTCACGAAAAAAAAAAAACAACTTTAACTGTTATCAATATTCTTGTGTGCGATTAACTTAACCCTTTGTGTGCTGACTTGTTTTACGCGCGCTGTAACCTCAGTACTGAGTTGTTTTGTAATAGCAACAAAATTATCACAATGGTGTACTAAAATGCAAACATCTAAAATTGTTGACAACCAATTTGCTTAAAATTTGGCAGATGTATAGCAAATGTTGTGTTTTATTAATTGATTCCTTTTTTTTTTTAAAAATCTAATATTTTATGTTGCCATGGAAACCAAATTTTCAAAAAATATATTTTAAAATGATTTTTTAGCTTTTTAACTATATTTTTCAAAGAAAATATTGCACTTTGATGAAAAAAATTAACCAATTGCTTTAAAATTCAATTTTAGATTTAATATTATGTAAAAAAAAAATTTGATTTAAACAATAACTCAATTATAAAGTCAATGTTTTATTGTTTTATATACCGTTATGTTGTGAAAAGTCATTATACTTATCTGAGTAAGGGATATATTCATGTAGGTTTAAGTGAATTCTGATTTAAGTTAATGGAAATTTTTTCAGATTTTTACTTAAAAGAGTATAAATTGAAGATTCAATTAGCCTGTAAATATAAAACCAGTGATTATTTTAAGAAAAATTGGCAATCGGATAAGAAAGTATGATCCTCAAAGAATATGCAGTTTTCGAGGTCGGGAAATCTTGGAGCAAATTAGCACAACAATGAACTAATTGCTGTTACTAGTATTCATTTTCAAATTAAAGCAGTCAATATGTTAAATAAATTTTTAAAAAATAAAATAACATATTGATTACACTAAGTTATTGAGGTCTTATTTTCTAATGACTTGTATCTTACAGCCCTAAATATACTCTAGTAATTGTCATATCACTCTAAGTTTTTTTTATTGTGCTTTTATTGAAGAAAATGCAATTCACCATGTTATTTGTAAAGTTAACATATTCATCAACTTTCCTCCCACAATACTTCTCACTCTGTAAGAAATGCGGCATTTATTTTAGAAGTTTTATTCCTACATGTAGCTGGCAACAATTATTTCCAGCAGGAAAACTAGAATTTTAAATTTTAGAAATTTAAGCACCGTTAACAGTCATTTAATAATGGTTTTTAAAAATTACTTCATTGTGGTCACTGGTGAATAACAGTTTTGAATTTTTTTCAATTGATTTTAGTTAATGATGGTTGACAGATATGTACTGTAATATCAATTAATATAGAGCAAATCGCAAAATACCTAAAGGATTACATTGTTTGTGACGAGCTGACGCTTTGCTTGTCGAGAACTTTAAATTCTACGTCACATTCTCGCCACATCAAAGGAAGTAGCCGAGATATCGTCTCTCCCACGCTAAAGTCGGTCAGCTGCAATACACATCGCCGACGTTTAACGGGTTTACAAAAGGGGACAGAAAACACAAATCTTATTAAACATTTTAAAAAGAGCATTATTTATATTATATGCATTTTTTAGAGTCCATAATAAATTAAAGCCGTGAAAATTAAATTTTATAGCATTTACCATTTGTGTATATGGCACGGTATACATGCGATATAAAATGATGTACATGATCAATTTAAATTGCTGGATTTTTTAAGTATTCGTCCTGGTCATTCTTGGATTGTGTAGTATTTTAATTGTTTCAAATCACTAGTACTGTTGATGTGAAATGATTTTTCTGTGGAAAAGAGATATATTCCGTTTATGTATCAAACCATGAACTTGAGACTTGAGAACTAAGTATACATAGATTTTTTTTACATGTATACCCCAAACAGCCGTATTATACCAGTATAATATGTACTTGTACTTTATGTATCCATATATAAAAGAACATTTCTGTCAAGAAGAGAAGTATGCCTATTCACAATTGTCAATAATTATGTCAAAATACTAAATTAGAACGGGTGCATAGTTTTGCTTTAAAATATACACACATGTATAATAGCTCTCTCTCTCTCTCTCTCTCTCTCTCTCTCTCTCTCTCTCTCTCCAGGAAACGTTTCTGTGGCTGAATATATATGTATTTCACTCTATTGCATCAGTGATGTTTAAAACATGATCAGGTATTTTCGTTAATTTAGCACTCAGTCTCTGATTTTTTAATTATCAGTAAGCACACATTAAATCCATTCTGATTGATGATATACGACATACATGCACTGCTTCAGAAATTTTAAATACTGTGCATTATGTAGAAAAGTACTCAAAAGCACATTTTCGCAATCCTTTATAAAACTGAGATTTCTGTAAGAACATGTAAAATACCTATAACAGGGAACCCATACTGAGCATTACGTACGCAGAGTTTTTGCAAACAGCAACATATCCTCCATATATGGGGGGGGGTTAGAATGGAAAAAACAGGTGCGATTTCAGCAACTGTGGGACAACTTTATCGAATGCTAAGACAACTTTTAATAATTATGCGATTTTATATTGTACTAACGCAGTGGAACTACAAGAGGCCCATGGGCTATATCGCTTACCTGAGCACCGTGGCTAAGAAAATAGCAGAAATCAGCTCAGTATTGAAAGTTTAAATCCATGATTGGTCCCAATCTACCTTTAAAGGGGATGGGATTATAATTATGTGAACAAACTTGAATCTACACTTCTTGAAATTTTCTCCCATAAGTTTCAACATTCTTGGCACTGTGTTTTTTGAGATAATTTTTAAAACATGTCATCAATTGCAAATTTTCACATTTTCTGAATTATCTCCTCTAAGAAGTCGCCCTTCATTTGAATAGACTTGAATACCGTTTACCAAAAAATGCCTTGTGGCAAGTTTGGTTAACATTGGCCCAGTGGTTCTAGAGAAGAACTCGAAAATGTGAAAAGTTTAAGGTAGTCCGATCCTCAGGTTTATAAAATTAGCAGTTAAGTAATCAAAAATACTCATAAAAGTATCTCTGAATTCACAAAGTTATGTAAATTTATCCACAGTATTTCTTTAAAGTTAAAGATTAAAGTTAATCATATTATATAGGGAAAATTGTCAAATCTCCAATATTTTTGCAGAAAAAGCGAATTAGAACATCAGCAATGCATTTTCTAATTGCAAATTGATCAACAAATCTATTTTAGGTTAAAAAAGAATAGGTATCCAGGCATTCAGAGAAATTGTTATGAATGTTATACTTATTTGGTATTTTTTGTCTTCTTTTTCCTTTATATTTTCTATAATACATTGTGTAAAAGGCTTTTACTATCATTGCAAGACACCACACATTATTTCACATTTCATATCATGCTAATAAGCATTGGTATCTAAGGCTGGATTCAAGAAAATCTTATTTCTCTAAAACTGTATTAATCTGTTCAGTTTTTGATTATTAATTGCCAGGCCCATCTCTAGGAATTAGATTTAGACTTTTTGACATAGGCGTCGAAACCGGGCGAGCGGAGAGTGGGGGGAGGGCTTTTTCAAAGTTAGGCTTAGTATAGACATTGAACATTGCTGCGTAGGTATACCCACGAAATAGGAGTTTAGTGTTTGGAAATACACATCCCTTGTTTTTGTTTGTGTGTGTGTGTGTTGTTGTTGTTGTTTTTTTTTTTTTTGCTTCTCAGGTTTTTTTGGGAGGTCTAAAGAAAATTTCTTACCCTTAGCCCCCACTTTAATTTGCTTCCGACGCCCATGATTAGATATTTTCCGTCGTTTGGTATTAATTACCTTGTACATACAACATTCGTTAAAACTTAAAAATAAATTGAACTTCAATCGTTAAAATTTGAAGGTAAATGGACACGTCTCCCCCGGCCTTCCCTCTTTATCTTTTCTCTCGAATATACGCATAGAGAGGGTCTCCATTTTCACCAGTATATTTTGTACCAAATTGCAGCAATCTCAGCGTGCATGACTTGGGTTGATACGCGTAACTAATAAATCTAATTATCAATGAATCATGCACTACTCGACTTTTATACTTAATCGCAAATATGAAAAAAAAGTAAATTTTGCGATAATAGAATAAAATAATCGACCAATTAAAATATTCGTAATGGACTGAAAAAAATCTTTATATTTTTAAATTCAAGGTTTAAAAAAACTTTTTTGTAATTCAAGGTTTAAAAAAAATTTAAACTTTGCAGGTAACATTCAAGAAAACGACATCGGGACTGTCTACTCCATTTTTTGAACCCCGAAAACAAGCTGTATGTTGCAGCTGACCGACTTTAGAGTGGGAGAGACGCCATCTCGGTTACGTCCTTTGATGTGGCGAGAATGTGACGTAGTATTTAAAGTTCTCGACAAGCAAAGCGTCAGCTCGTCACAAACAATGTAATCCTTTAGGTATTTTGCGATTTGCTATATTATGAAATACTTATAAGTTTATGCAAGTGTAATGGTATGGGTCATGGATGTAGGCCTAGTAAGCTCAGTCAGTGGAGCATCTGACCAGTGATGCAGGGGTCCCTTCTTCGATTCACGGACCAGCCATGCAATTTCTCCTTCCTTGTTACAGATTTGATGCTATTGACCCCTCTGGATTTGCAAGTGAAAGTACTGTCAGGGGCTAATTAATATAAACTATAATTTGGTTTGTGTCTGCAAGGATGAAGATAATTTTAAGGAAGGATATGTAATGGTTATGCTGTGGGTATCAACCTGGGTAGCTCATTCGCTAGAGCACCTGACTATTGAAGCAGGGTTCCTGGGTTCAATTCCTGGTCCAACCACACATTTTCTCCTTACCTGTTACAAGTTTTAAATGTGCCTGAATTTTTACTTCAACATAAAATATTATTCCTAATGATAAAATATATTTTATTTCTACCATGGGGTTTAATTCCTTGTATTCTAAGTAACTATTCACATTTTCATATTTAAAAAGAATCATATCTTTGGAGAGCAAAATGTATTCTTTGTTGATTAATAACTGTATAGGAATTTGCATTTTTTGAAAAATGTTCTTCACCATCATTAAAAAAAATTCTCACAGTAAATCTTAGCTTTTTTTACTGTATTAATTCAGGCATATATGATTATCTCTTATATCAAATATCAAATGTACCTATCTTAATATCTAGAAGGGGTGGAATGTAGAAGCTTCTTGGGCCTTATAAACTTGTAAACTAAAGGACATATTACAGATTAATATAGGTAAAAACATGTACATTGTGTACTTTTGAGTTTGAGAAGTACAATTCCTATCACCCAGTTTTTATTGTAATTTATTGAACAGATGCACATGCAAGTCCATACAAAATTACTCATTTTAAAGACTGATCTCCTTCTTATGCCTACAAAAATGACAATTCATCTTAATTTTGAACTGTATAGTTACCATTTATTTAACCAGTGAATTTTATAATTTTATGTGTGCATGTATAGGTTGGGGCAGTCTCACTGTTTTGGGTTTTAATAAAATAGAAATAAAAAGTGGGGGAAATGTGCAATTTAATCCACATGCTTTATTCTGGCAAAAGTCTATTTTAAAGAAAAAGAAAATGTCTCCTTGATACTTAAACTTATACTTCTTCTTGGTTAAGAAAAAAAAAATTCTGATACTAGTACCAATTATTTTCACTTAGTAATTAGGTTCCATGCAAACTAGAGTATGTAAATACCTTGAAGAAATCTAACTCTAAGATACCAAAGATCCCGGAACATATTTTGGTTTTGAAATTTTTGAGAGTCTATATAATAATCCTCATCAAGGAAATAAAATGGTATTTTTAATACTTACTGAAATAAAACAAATACCACAGTTTAAACAAATGACAGTCATTTCAGGGAAAATCAGCATTTCAAAATTTGTTCATTACTTTTTACCATTTTCATGTATATGCACATGTTTGAATGCATCAATGCATCTTTTCCGATATGTTAATGTTTTTCATTTCTTCTCAATACTATTTGGATTTTTTAAAGTAAACTTCAGTTTTAGTGTGGAGAACTAGCTTACATTTGAATACACTAGAAAATATCAAGTTTATTTTAAAGTTTTATATGTGCTAAAAATTTTACAATATATTATTATACTGTTATAAAAAATATTTGGAAGTTTTCCCAAATAGTTGGAACATCAAGCAGTTTAAACCAGAAATTCAAGGTGTAATTAGGGCCACTTAATTGACTCCATAATTGTCAGTTTATTTTAAAATTCATATTGAGTATATTTCGAATACCTGCATGCATCATGAATTAATTTTGCTTGATCACAAAAATATGTTGATGGATATATATTCTCTATATATCTCTTTGGCACTTACTTAATGCAATAACTCATCGGAAAATTTTCTACAGTGTTAAGGTCCTCCACATTTATTTTTTTTAATTAGGTGAAATTCCTCCTTTTTTTCAACATTTTTTAAATGGGTCTTTAGATTAAAAAAAATTAATTGTTTACTTATTTATTTGTTTATTTATTGTTAAAAAAACAAATACTCTTAATTGACAAGATGCTTTAATTTTTTCCAACCTTTATTTCAAAGCAAAGCTTGAATTACGTATGTAAACAACATGCACAGCCACTGACTGACTGAGGAAAATAAAAACGTCTGTGGCTTGCCAGATTCAATCTCGTGCATTATTGTTTTCATTTAGACGATGTAATGTCCATGTCTACTTACAAAACGCCAAATAAACAAATAATAACCACATTATGTCCAAAATATAAAACTTTGCAGACCATATAAGCTCTCGATATGCTTCAGACTGAAGTTCAGTAGCATGTGCACCCTACTTTCGTTTTAACATAAAGAACTTCGCAAGGTTAAGGTCAAGTCAAGTTAACCAGAGTTTTTTCTGCTAAAATATCGACAATTTCTCAGTAATTTTATGTCTACTAGCACAAATTTATTAAAATTATTGATATTTAACTATTTTTGAGGTTTATTTCTCTATTTTCCTTTATATTAGAGCAATTTAGTAGATATTTATTACATGCGCGTTTTTTCCCTGTTTCCAAAAATAGCGGACTGACTTTTCATCGTAACAAACGCCAACACCTTCACTTCAAATCACAATTTCACAAATAATTCGCATATTTTCACATCTTAATTACCTATTTTTCAATGTATTGTAGTTTTATAATACATATTGATAGATTTTTAGTAATTCACAACTCATTTATAAGTTTTATACAAAGTTTTATGTTACGAAGTGATAATTCCAAACTCAGACCCAATATATTGGGTTCCCGCACGGTAGCGTTTATGACGTCAGACCCAATATATTGGGTTCCCGCACACAAAGGGTTAAAAATAAAATAATATTAATACAATTGCACTGGAATGTTGGTTACTGGAAATTATCATTTTCTGGTGAACAGATTTAATTTAATTTTTTTTACCTGATAAAAGTACTTGTAAATAATATACAGTGTATTTGTTAGGGGTAGGTATAGATCACCAAGCCCTAATATGCTGTAATGATTTAGAGCTTTGATTCATTATTTATACAAGCTTCTTAAATAAATATTGTCATTTAATCACATCTATTCGAATCTAAAATGTAGCAACATTGTGTCATATTCATGCAAATGTAACAATACAATATTTTTTGTTGCAATGAGAATGCGCTTCAGGATTCAACCAATTCTGCATTTCTCTTAGTGATGTCACTTACGCACTCCATATAAAGTGAAAGCATATTCTTACAAGAAAAAAACTTGATCTGTTAGAAAATGAACAAGGACAATCAATATATTTGTTAGTTTGCATATTAAATAATAAATAATGAATCTTCTGTTCAAGAAATGAGTTATCTCCCTTACCATCATAGACCATGTCCCTCTGCGTGGTGGGGAGTTTGATCCTTGTGTTGTACTGAGGCAGTTTTCCTTCTACACTGGCATGGAACTACAAAACAATACCACATGTTAGTAGATGCTGGCTAATTATTTGTTTCAAATATATTGTCATCAGATCATAGTATTTGATAATATTAATATAAAATATTTTTAAATTTTGATTTTAAATCCTATTTTCAATAGGCAAAATCTTTCCTCTCTGTGGAATTTAAGGTCGAATGAAAAAGATATAATGCTATTTGTTTGAACAGTTTGCAGTTAGTTGAATCAAATAGCTTAACTTTTTCCTCCACTATAACCTACCTCTTCCTCTTCCATCTGTTTCATGGTGTCCTGGAGATCTTTGCCGTCCAATTCCTCCAATAGTTTCAGCAGTTTCTCCTCACACGTAGAAAGCTGATCCAGAACATACTCGTCTGAGGTCGGAGCAATCTGTGCAGTGGGAACATGTCCTTTGCTCTGAATTGTGAAAGCAAGAGGTTGAAATGAAAAAAACCCTGGTAAATAAACTCATGATCCATTTACACAAAATAGATCTTAAAGTTTCCTTTTATCACTTTTAATTAATATTGATAACTTTGTGGTGATGTATAACTTGCAGCTTTGATGTGATATACTTACAGCTTTGAGGTGACATTTATCTTACAGCTTTGTGGTGATATAATTTAAAGTTTTGAGGTGATGTGTAATTTACAGCTTTGAGGTGATGTACAAGTATATATATATAACTTACAGCTTTGAGGTGATGTAAAACTTACAGCTTTGAGGTGTTAGATTAAACTACAGCTTTGATATGATGTATAATTAACTTACAACTTTGAGGTGACATTTAACTTACAGCTTTGTGGTGATATAATTTAAAGTTTTGAGGTGATGTAACTTACAGCTTTGAGGTGATGTATAATTATTAGCTTTGAAGTGATGTAGGGGTATATATATATAACTTACAGCTTTGAGGTGATGAAGTTTGTCAGACAGGTGCTCCACCCCTGCCTTGACGGAGACCATGATGTGACTGTTTCTATTGAGGTGATCCTCGGCATTTGATCGTCTGTCCTCCTCCTTCTGAAGGTGAGACTGGAATTCCTCCAGCATCCTCTGACCACTATATCAAAAGATGAACAAGAACCTTGAGAGTTTAGCATGGTCTGTATAGGGTTATAGTGTTGATATATTCAATATTATTACATGGCTTTAAGGGCAGCATATACCAGAATATTTGCCCCTCGGTGACAGGAAAGTCCTGAAGTGTTATGTCGCCCGATGCCGCATGCCTATATATACATGTAGGCATCGGGCGACATAACACTTCTGGTATTGCTGCCCAAGAAATAATCCATGTAATATATCGTATATTATAATTCCTGTTTCATGGCAGAATGTTTTTAACATACTGACACTTGTGTTAATAACCTTTGTTGTATTTAAAAGAATTTTCTCTCCCCAATTAAATTATCTAATTTCCCTGAATTCAAATAAAAAAATCGCAGACGTTGTCCTGACTTTTTAATTTCACAGAGCTGTTTACATTTGCTTAGAAACTGCCTCTGTGAATTTTGAACCCAACATATTTAATATGCAGAATGATTGCACGCAAGGGAACAAAACTGTGTTCAGGAGGGCAATATGACTGTTTCCGGTGAAATATAACTATACTGAAAGGATTAAGAAACGCATATTAAACTTTTGAGTTAAATTAAAACAATTATTTCAAATATGTTTTCCACCATTGTTATCATACATTTTAATCCATCTTTAATTAACAAGTTACCAAAATTGTGTGCGACATTGAGTGAGAATTTCTTAGATATTGATATCAATATGTCGACACCTCCCAAAAATAAAACTAAAAATTCTCATAATCTCGCTTTCGCATCAGTGACAAACCTGATTTTCCTGTGCATTGAGTTCACTAGAGCAGTTATCTTTTTCAGAACATTAGCATTCAACCCTTCCGACGGTAGTCTTAATGTCTGAGATTACCTGTATTATTCAAAAGCTAACAAATCCCCCCGCCCAATCGAATACGAATTTTCCATTTAGGATAAAACGTACAGAACCCAGCAGGTTTGGTACACGTGGATATTTGAAGAAAAAAGTCTTGACAAACACTAGCTAAATTTTTCCAGTGTAAACCTGCTAAAAAAATCACGCAAACGACGCGTACGTGCGCGTTTGAGAGTAAAATCGACGTAAAGTGCCCAAGCTCGCGGTCCAAATTAGAGAAGAGAGTTTCTGTCAATTTAGGATAAAAAAAATGAGTATGATTGTCTGCTGTATAAATATCAGTTTCAGTGAAAATGCCTTGACAATAACCGAGGTGGCATGATGAAAAGCCCTATCTAGTTGTGAAGTTTTTACGCGCCAACGTCGCTGTCATGGTTGGTTGGAAACATTTTAAGTTAACTCTCTGACAACCAAAAAAACTTTTATTTGGTTAAAAAGTTGAAAACAATCTGTACAGCAGCACATTTTTGCCTTTTTATTCACTTATGCAATATTGAATTCAATTACTAAACCTACAGTAGCTTCCGTCAGCCATACCACGATTGCAAGAAATTTATACTGACTGCAAATATGCAAAAACGATTTCGATAACTGTAATGCATCGTATGGCACTACAAAATTTTATCACAAAATTATCATCATCAACATGCACGTGTTTTTGACTTTTAATCATTTCCCCTACGTGACGCCATACATTTCATGGTTGAGTAGTTTTGACTAGCGATTTTAGTGCAAAGTAATACACATCTGACAAATTTTCATATTTTTTGGCCACATAGTCAAAAATTTTTCCAATATTATGTTCTTATGCGTTTCTTTTTCCTTTCAGTATATATCCGGCATGATTAAGCAGTTTTTCAGGGCATATGGATAAAAATATTATATTTGTGATATAATGGGAAAACTCCTTCAACAATGTTATATAATGAATAAGAACCTTGAGAGTTTAGCATCTCCTGTGTATTTCATGTCCTCAAACTCGGCCTGTAGTTTATCCTTCTCTTCCTTCAGACGTGTGATCTGTTTGTCATTGTCCTTTTGTAATGCCTCCAGGTGCTTAGTCGTTTCATCTTGTCCCTCAAATCGCCTGACCACTTCCTAAAAATAACAGTGACCACAGCTTTTAAATGAACTCTACCTCGTAACAAGCACACAATGTACCACAATTTCCTAATAAAGCTCAGAGTGCTGGGATGACTAAACAAGCTGAAGGGAATATACCATGGGTTCTATGCATATGATTTATACTGTGGCTAAATACAACTGTACAGAACTAAGCAGAAAATGATTTGCTTTTAAGATGATAATAATGTGTAAATGTTACAGAATATGATCCGTTTTAAGACAGTAATAGAGGTTACCATGCTGTCTGATAATCTATATTATGGTTACCATGGTGTCTGATACGCCGGTGGCCTCCTTGATTCGCCGGAAGGCCTCCTCGTACGTCGTGATTTTCTGCTGCTGCTCTTCTCCCTGGAGGGCCTGCTTCTCTTGAGGTGAGAGTTCATCCTGCTGAATCGAGCCACGCTGAGCCTGTTATAAGAAACAAAATAATTTATTACATACTTGATTCTTCACTCGATTCTCATTTTCTTCTGATCTACTTTTGCGTACTATCATTCACTTGATTCTCTCATGTTTTTTTTTCTCTGATCTTTTTTTTATGTACCAGGTACTATTCTTTGCTCGATTCTCTTGGGTTTTCCCCAGATCTATTTTTATGTAGTACTCTTCGCTTGATTCATTGAGGTTTTCCCCTATATCTATTTTTACATACTATTCTTCGCTCAATTCTCTCATGCTGCATCTTCTTCTCCTCTGCCTCCTTCTTCATCTTCTGTAGCTCCACCTCACGCTGTTTACGCTCTGTGTACACCACCTTCTCGTGCTTGGCTAGCTCCTGCTGAGCGGCTTCCTTGGAGATGTGTGCGTCGTCATGCATGGCTCGTAACTCCTTCAGTTCCGCCTTCGTGCTTCTGATTTCAGCCTCCATACAATCCAACACACTGGGGAAATTACCAGCTTCCTGTCAGTAAACATCGACAATTTCACATCATTACAAATCATTACGTCGAAAAATTACAAAATTTAGAGATAATTTAAGATGTGGTATTTTCAATGTTTGAACAATTACTTACAACTTCTAGTTTCCTCTTAATGTCCTCATAAATTCTTTTTAAATGGGAAGCCTCATCTATCTTTAGTTTGGTTTTATCGTAGCTATTCTCAAGATATCGCATTGTCTGTAAAATTAAGAGTCAATGATGACACATGATAACGTTTTGAATAAAAAAATTTATTTCATAACAAAGCATACATTTCACAAAATTTAAGGGGTTCTCATAGGACAATGTAAAATTTTACATATTTCATTCTTTAATAAATTCATCATAACTTTTAAGGTGGCTTTGAATGATCGATTTAAAAATTACTGATGAGAAATAAAAGATTTTCATGGTCATCACTCATTAGTTGAAAAATAAAATTTCTAATTAACAGTCCCTACTTGTTCCAATAAATCTGTTGTCAGTACATAAGAACAAGTAACATTACTGAGTTTTTCAATTAATAGTCGATACTGGTTCCAGTAAGTATACTGTCAGTATAAGAACCAGTTAGTCTGCTGGGTGATTTGTCCACTGACCTGTGCGTCTTTGGACTCCCCTTTGTCTGTGGCCACAGCCTCGGAGCTGTCGTCCACCATTTGTTGGTACTCCGTCTGTAATTTCTCCAGTCTCTTCTGCTTCTCGGCAGTCTGATGTTTCAGGGCATTCAGTCTCTTCATTGTGTCACACACCTTGTAGTCCATCACAGTTATAGCTTGCTGTAATCAATAATAAATATGGTATATCAGTACAGGATTACATTACATATATCTCTTGAGTTCCCATAATTTGTAGCTCTCTTGAGTATATACATGTATCAGTTAAATAAGTTCTCAGATTTTAATTCATCTTTGGTTTAACATCTTTTTTTTTTAATACATACCCTGCCAGTTTTGTTTTTCATGGAGGCTCTTTCAACAGGTCGGTCTTGGAATGCTTTATTGATGACATGTTGATCTTGCTAAAAAATATAAATATATAATATATATAAACTGTTTATAAGTATAAATGTTTTCCACAATATTAAAAATTATAATCATTTATTCAATAGGAATGAGTGAGTGAGTGAATATAGTTAATAACTAACTCATACAATGTGAATGTGAACATGATGACAAAAGTTAACTTACTGAGAGGGAGTCACTCAGCTTCTTTCTGACTTCTTTATTTTCCTTCCTTAACTTTAGGATTGTTTCCCTGTTCTTCTTCATTGCAAATTGTGAAGTCTCATAGTAAGCCTTTCGATCACCCTCTACAAGCAAAATATAAACATAATCTGTCAAAGTAAATAAAGTAAATACATAAACAGGCCTTCTCTAATCTATACTGCATACTCTATCTTGGGTATCCTGGCTGTAGAAGTGTAGCTGAGACTCTAGATGGAAAAATTTGGACAGGCAAACCAGAGAAACACAGATCCAAGCACTGTGAAATTGTTAGATTTAGGGACTTTGGGCATTGTAGATTTATAGCCTGGCCCCTAAAATTGGTAGCCCTGGGCATGCATCTATAATTGCACACCCCTGAGAGAGCTATACAGTTCTGCAGTTAACTCTTTCCATTTCTCAGGTCAGTATCCCATCCAGAAACAGAAAATATTTACGACGGATGACTTAATGGGTTGGCATTTACTTTTCTCTACTTTTTTTTTTTTTTTACATCTTTTAATTAGCTGCGCACCCTACTCAGAGTACTCAAAATTTGAGGGCGTGTAGTATCGAGAGATAGATAGGCATTTATAATCTCAAATGATCAATTAATCATTCAATGCACTTTACATTAATTTGTGTTAATGTTACATCTTCTATACTTATCAATGTATTCTGATATCCATAATTTTAAATGAATTTTTCATAAAATATGCATTTAAACACAAAACACATATTGGTACAGAATACACTCATTAGCTATTATCAGGTTGGGCACACACCGCCAAATGGTCATTTAACCCCCGTTTGGTGGTCATTCGCCCATATCGGCGTCTTTATTAACCACCAAATGGGAGAGAAAATCGTTCTGTTCAGTTCTCTGGAATGACGTGAAATGGCGCATAATTTCAACTAACGGGGAATAAAATATAGATATTTATCTGTACTCTGAACGAAAAAAATTATAATTTCAACGCGGACTTTTTTGCGCAGTGTCGTTCAAATAATTGACAAAATCGTCACCTATGTAAACAAATGTAACGTTTCTCTGTTTTAACTTTAAAAGAAAAATTCCCTCCGTCTCGCGCGTAGTTGAGCCTATCAATCGTGTTGATCACTTCATATTTCTGTCATCCGGGCAACCGATCAATTATCTAAACCAATCAAAAATGACGATCTTTTCCAAACTTGGGTCAAAAGACTGAATTAAATACGAAGGCCCATAAGTGTTAATTTTCAAAAAGTAAAATAAGAGGAATGGTAAGAATTCGCTTTTATTTAGTTTATTTCGTAAGCAATGGCTTTATTCTTAATTATAAAAATGCGATAAGCAGCGAATTCATGTTAAAATAATCACTCGAAAACCATAATCTTGGAATAAAAACAGGAATAATTGCAAATGTCACTTTGTAAATCCTTTATTAAAAAATATTTAATAAATATAGTAGATACAACATAGATATGCATACTATTAACCACAAAGGGTCGCACAGAAATCGTAACTTCATCCTAAAAGAAAATAAAGAATAAATGTCACATTCAAATGTAGGAAAAATGAATATTATAGCACTAAGTGCCCACCATATGAATAAGATTCGAGGAGCTCGTGTTTAACGGGATTTCATAAAGATTTGTATAGACGCAGATCGAAAAATCGTTTGAAAAGTTACTTCTCTAGACTAACACCTCTTGCTTAAATGTATTTTTTTTTACCGAATTATACACAACAAAATAATTTTTGTATTGTTTGAGCTAATAGTTCGGCCGTCACGAACAGCTGTGGGTTTCGTTTTTACAGAAATTCCACATGGAAAATTGACTAAATTGTATTAAATGTGCGATGAATATGTTAATTAAAATTCCCCAATGCCTAAGTAAATGCGCTTTTGCTTTATTTCAATGATAATTGGATTTGAATAAAAAAGACCACCATTTGGTAGGTAAAAAAGACGCCGATATGGGCGATTGACCACCAAACGGGGGTTAAATGACCATTTGGGGGTGTGTGCCCAACCTGATTATAACCGCATGTACACCTACCCCCACCCCCTTTCCCCACTCGATTCGTACCCAAAACAAGAATTTACTTACCCAAGAGGGCAATCTTGGACTTGAGTTCATCAATCTGTTCATTAATGGGTCTTTGTAAGAGGCCTGTACCGGTCGGCATCTTGTTAATTTTACGATGCCACCTTTCTTTAAATCCTGCTGTTGACAATCAATATGGTGTTTGTACGTATCCAAGGTGCCCGTCTTTTGCGCATGTGTAAAACTCTAAAGTAAGAACCATCACCGATAATACTTCCGGCAAATTGAAAGAATTTCAAAAAATCCCGTTAAAATAAAATGTTGTTATTCTTGTGTTTAAACATTTTATTTAGATAATATAAATTTATATGATATTTGAAAACTCCATAATATTTTGATTTGATTAAGCATTTAAGGAATCAACCACATAGATTTATTTGAACACTACACATTCAAGCCAATACTCTCTCTCTCTCTCTCTCTCTCTCTCTCTCTCTCTCTCTCTCTCTCTCTCTCTCTCTGTGAACATTTTTTTAATCGACAGATTCAATCATTTATATGGAGAGACAATTAAATTAACATAATCTGAAACCGGCTGAACATGTTGGTCCAGAAGATATCAAATCAGTGAAAAACCAATTATTCGTTTGATGTGCACAACACATGCAGCACAATAAGTCAACAACTAGATTGTAGTTCACTGTTCGTGGATTTCATTCTACCGGAAAGAGGGGGGGGGGGGGGGGGGGGGGGAGTCACTGGGTTTTTTCCAGAATATCTTCTTTTTTTTTATTTTCTCTTCATTTCTATCAAATGCATATTTTATCTGTTTTCAAGATGACCAAAGACAGACCTAGAAAAATTAGGAGAGAGAGAGAAGAAAATAATTATATAAAACATTTAGAATTAAGAGATTATTTACAAACCACGAAAAGTGGAGTGATATTTTGTTTTCGTCGATATGGTGAGTACTGGAGCAAATTGTGCTATTGAGTTCGGCATTTTATTCTGTTCGCAAGTATCGAAAATCAAGCCCGCCGGTTGGAGACGGCAAAATTTCCACTGAGTTTTCGTAATGTCACCGGTTCTGGCGTTTTCCCGACACGTAAAATATCAAAATGAAAAAGAGCCTGGAAAACGTCAGATATTTCGGACTAAACTTTAAGCTGACTGAAAAAATCATATAGAAGCTGCATGCTTTAATGCATATAATGGGCATTTTATTCTACTATTATATTTTGAAACAGGAAACTGTTTCACAGAGGAAAAGAGGAAGCCATGTTTAAGAGCTGCTACTTATCGAACTTATAACTTCCTGCTGTTTCAGATGCTACTCGTAATAATTTGTGTATCAGAAATTTATCCTTTTTGTCCTCCTTAAATCAATCTTTAATACAACATTGTTCCTGTGAATTCATTAAAATGTAAACATTAATAATTTTATACATATCATGGATTTTAAAACTTACAATTATACATTTATTTTATTCTTTAAATATAAAAACAAATATATTTTCCCCCAGAAAAAGAAAATCGTTATGTATTAAGTAATCCTATGTGTACATGTAATATGTAATTCCAATAGGGGACCTGATTTTTCTCCAGCCGCTATTTTTCTCCTTTTTTTCTTCTCCATGCAGTATACTTTCTATCCCCTTCACGCAATTTTTACTCCATTATACACTCACTCCCCTTACACTTTTTTTTTTAATTTCCCCCATCATACCCTCTTCTCCCTTTACACTCTTACATTATACCAAAGTGAATAATAAAATGAATTGATAAAAAAAATCTTACTCCTGCATTATACCATGTACTAGTACTTTCCCTGTACAATCTTTCCTGAATGATACCGCCTTACCTGTTAAATATTCCCTCGAATGATACCTCATTCCCTGTAAACTATTCCCTAGAATTATACCGCCTCCCTTACACCGTTTTCCTTGTTTTTTTTTTTCCTGCATTATTCCCCTTTTTGCACTGCCCTTTTCATAATATTTTCCTTTCCTTACACTATTTTCTCTGTTTTAACCTATGCCTTAATACTTCATTCCCTACAATATACCCTTCCTGTCCTGTACAATGTCTTCCCAGAATCACACCTCTTTCCTTTACTTATTAAATAATTCTTAAAGATTACCCTCTAAATTCCCTTCTTGTACTCTTTTTCATGAATTGTACACCTCTTTTCTATCCTAACTTTTGTTCCACATTATTTCCTCCCATACCAGAATCGATAGATAAGGGGCGTATTTTGTTTTTGTCCTGTCTGTCTGCATGTCTGTTTGACTGTCTGTTGACAACTTTCACCTTTGTCATAACTTTTGAACCGTGAGAGATAAAGATTTTCTATTCAATATGTATACTCCACAAATTAAAATCTTTCAAATGACACCAATATCTATGACCTTGTGACCTTGACTGTGACCTATATGCTGAAAATATCTTTTTCGAACTTTCGCCATAACTCTTGAATCATAGAAGATAGAGACTTTATATTTGGCATGCATACTCCACAAATTAAAATCTTTCAAATGACACCAATATCAATGACCTTGTGACCTTGACTGTGACCTATATGCTAAATATATCTTTTTCGAACTTTCGCCAAAACTTTTGAATCATAGAAGATAGGGACTTCATATTTGGCATACTCCACAAATTAAAATCTTTCAAAGGTCACAAGGTCATTGACCTTGGTGTCATTTTAAACTCAGATCCTCGGGTTCTGAAAATCAGGCATTAAAGTGTTTTTATCCATGATAATTCTTCAAACTTCATTTGCAAAGTTAATCATATATATATATATATATATGGGAAATAAGAAAATCTCAAATAAATTTTCAGTTAATGCGAAGAAAACACGTTCTACGCATTTTCCATTTTAAAATTGGTTAACAAACACATTTTAGAAATAAAAATCATTGGTATCCAGGCTTTTGAAGAAATTGCACAATTTTTATCATAAAAGGTACTATAATTTCTTCTATTTACTTCGATCAATTTACAACGCATAGTGTACAAAGATTTTTCTAGCATTGCAAAACGCCATAAATTACTTCTAATTTCATATCATGTTAATAAACATTGTTATCTCAATCTGTGGCATATTAAAATAAACCTCAATTTCTTTAATATGTAATTTCAAAATACTTTTATGGGGTAGAAAAATCGACGTTTTATAAGACCTTTCTGAGATCTTAAAAGAACGCTGAATTACATTGAGAGATATAATATGAAAATTGTTGCATGAAAAGATTTAATTTTTAAGCTTCATTTTAAAACTTTTTGAATTAAATCATAAATTAAAGAGTTATCCATCCTGGCTGAGGATCGGAATACCTTAATGGAGGATGCAAACCAAATATAAAGTCAATCTCTCATGGTTCAAAGTTATGGCGAAGGTTAAAGTTGACAACAGACAGACAGACAGACGGGACAAAAACAATATAAAAAAATATACACCTTGAATCTATCGATCCGGGCGCATAAGAACGATGGATGTGCTCCTGCAAATACTTTAAGCAACTTTATTCGAAGTACTAGCGAGATATATAAGAAGGAGTGATTGATTATTGCCAGAAGTGAAATCCCCTTGTGTGTTGTTGGTGCAAATTTCATTCCAAGAGAATTCGGAAATATTTTCCTTCAAATATAAGTTTTGTGTGAGTTGGAATACTAGTATACATTTCATCATTTATTGGAATAATTACAAAGTTTGTTTTTGATTCTCTGACTTAGAATAAATACATAATGTGAAACATGCTAGATTCATTGTCTTCAAAAAATTATTTGTCTTTGATTTTCTCAAATTAATCCATCAATTAATTAAGTTACCTGTAGCTATCCAATAAGTTATTAAATACTGTCCATTATTTTAAATGCTAGTAATGGACAGATATTTAAATTTATCGGACAGTTTCAGGAAACTTATTGAACTGTTTTGAGCAAAAGATGATGTCAGGCTAGTGTTTTAAGCCAAGAAATCATATGGAGATTTTACTTTTCAAACGTAACTTTTCTAAAAAAATATTCAACATATATCATTATACGATGTTTTATAAAAGACAATTTTTAAAATAACCAACATACCGTTTATTAATTGTGCGCCTGGATCGATAGATCCGGGGCGTATATTGTTTTAGTCCTGTCTGTCTGTTTGTCTGCAAACTTTAACCATCGCCATAACTTTTAAACCATGAAAGATAGAGACTTCATACTTGTTATGCATACTCCACCTTCATACTTGGTACGCATACTCCACGAATAAAGTTCTTTCAAATGAAACCAAGGTCATTGACCTTGTGACCTTGACTGTGACCCATTTGCTAAAAATAGCTTTTTCCCTCAAAGTTTAACCTTCGCCGTAACTTTTGAACCATGGAAGATAGAGACTCATATTTGATATGCATACTCCACTACTAACGTTCTTTTAAATGACACCAAGGTCAATGACCTTGTCTCCTTGACTGTGACCTATATGCTATAAATAGTTTTTTTCCTACAAACTTTAACCTTCGCCATAACTTTTGAACCAATAAAGATAAAGATTTCATACTTGGTATGTGTACTCCACTCATTACGCCTTTTCAAATGACACCAAGTATGATAACCTTGTGACCTTGACTGTGACCTATATGCTAAAAATAGCTTTTTTCCTCATTTTGTTGCAGCCGGGCGCATAGTGTTTCACAAACACATTTTCAATTTGAAATTGAAAATCATGTCATTGTTATGCAATCATTTTTAATCCTTTAATGAATATTTGATAAAAGATACACTTCAAAAAAGCATCAGTGATTTTAAAAATCGTTTTTATTCTATTCAGCAAAACATATACAATGTTTCGTTATATAAATAACTACAACAATCCGCAATAAATATTAAGAACTTTGATATTGTCACAATCTCATGATCATATCAATATCGTGATCTATTATGCAATTTTTAAAACAATCGTTTTCAAGTGTGACTAAAGCAATATTTATTTTATATACAAATGTAAACACTAGTAAATAAGCTGGGTCGCATGTACCTATAGCTATCAAAATACTACAGTATCTGTGTGCTTACATTTTGATCATTAGAGATAATAAAGACAACGATCGATTGGGTAAAAGAAATGTTCATCATAAAACAACACAAAAACCAAGTATTGTTGAAACTATAAATAAAACGAGTTATGTCCACGTAAAAGTAGCAATAAAATGGTTGTAAACACACCATCCTTATACACTGTATATCACAACAAAATATATTAAAAACTCAATAAAGAAGTAAAAACAACCAACAGAGCTCCACAAAAGTAAATCTCAGCTTGTTACAGGTAAAGGTTTGTTCTTATTTTTGATCAACAAAGAAAAGATAAAACAAAGAAGGCTTTTGCGAAGCAATCTACAATGAAGCTATACGTCCTATGAAAGCATTTGGCACATGATATATAAATTAACATTCACCAGAAACATGATCTTTCCTTATTTTTGAATTAGTGCTCGTCTGTATTACTTTTTCTCACATTCTGCATGACTAATCGATCCTGAAGATACTGAAATGCCGCGAAAAAGTTAGTAAGGGAACAGTCGTGCACGCCACCTAGCATGCACTGAGGCTTAAAGTCGAGCACCATGTACGTCTGAACATAGAGTCTTCTGAAATCTTCTTCGTTGAGGTACGTGAGTAACACGATCAGGAGAGTGAGGAGTTCGTCACAACAACCCACGAAATCCTGAAGCGAGGCCGCGGACTTCAGCGTCGACACCTGATCACCAACAAACCGGTACGTCTTGGTGATTAGCTTCAGTTTACCCGTTATAGTGTTCTCCCTCACTAAAGAGTGGATCATATCCAGGCCAGGCTGTAAAATATCGTACAGGCTCTGACCTTCCTCCTGATTTATTTGACTGGCGGAGCTTTTCTGTTCATAACAGGGCGGTAACTTCGAAGATTCTTCGTAGGACGGCGGAGGCTCATGAAAGGCTATTGTATCACTCTCCCTCGATGGAGAGGCGCCCAGCATGTTCTTGGGGTGGGTCAGTTCTGAATCCTCAGGGAAAGGACTGGCGTACTCAACAGTCTCTATGTCATTCTCCAGCTTTGAGCCCTCCTTTTCGGCCCGCCGATAGAGTTCATCGATGGGCATTTTTCCAATAGAGAACAAACTGAGATCAGACGTTATGGAACGCACGCTAGTTAAGGAAATAGTCTCGACAGGTACCTTAACATCTGTCACGTGGACAGGTGAAGACGATAGATCGTTAAGATGACGTATCCAGGGCTCGTCAATCCCAAGCTCCTCAAAAGACATATCCTTCACTTTGTTGAACACACTGATACATATACTGCCGTACGTTTTGTCATACAATGATTCTAAAGGCTCCATAATTTTATGACATAGATGATTTTGGTAGCAAATCAATATCTTTCCGCTCGTGTTTCCCCCAACGCGAGTATGTTCAGGGTTAATTTGTGATAGTAATTCTACCATATTTCCCATATGTTCGTTTATTTCTCGTTTAACTGTATTGATGAGTGACTGGTAAACTGTTTCTCGTCTTCTTGGAATGTCTTGAGTGTCATCTTCTGGAATACACATTGTTGAGTGTCCTAGTCTGGATCTTCGTTCTCTACATCGATCACCTGAAGCTATAAGGTCATGTTCAATGTGGACAAAACTAGAGGAAAATACTGACAGGTCTTCTTCTATGGGATTGACTTGGTTTTCAAATAGTTGATTCTCTCTCAAGGTCGAGACAATCTTGTCTTGTATTCCTGAGCAGAATCGAACGTGCTTCTGTGTTACGTCATGTTTGACATCAGCCAAAATGGCCGAAATCGTCTCTTCTAGAGTGAACCAGTCTTTTGGCTTGCAGCTCATGCCATTGATGTCGTTTTCAGGGGTTCCGTCAGATTTCATCTGCCAGCCTAACGTCTGACCATCAGTCTTTAATTCATCCAGCGCTAACTCGATTGCTTCTCGGACAGAGGAAATTTGGACTTTGTGTAAACACAGTTTATGAATTTCTTCCTTTTCTGTCTGGAGTCGTTCATTTATCTCAATGTAGACGTTGTGGAACACATTTGACGTTTCGAACTTTGATACTCGTTTGTTGGATTTTTTGCGCCTAAGTCTGGCTTCCTTAATGGTTTCCTTCACTACTTTGAGTTTCTCCCACTTCTCGTAGCACATGTCTCGCTCTTTTCTGACTTGTTCCAGTTCCGTGGAGGTACAGCTATCCCGCTTCAATTCATTCACTTTTTTCTGCATGACTTCCATTGTCTGCCAAGTTTCCTCGACATCTTTTCCAATTTGCCTTTCGAATGCTTGTATGAATTTGGGACTGCAAGACAATATGTGCTTTTCACTTGTAAAATCTTCCCGTTCCAATAAAGTCTCACGTTGCTTGGCCATAGAAGACTCTGTCAACTGAACGGCTCTGTCTTTCTTCAGAATAATTTTGTCAATGCTCTGTAGCTGGTTCTGAACCCGTAAAAGCGCATTTTTAA